GTCTGTATCAAGAACTACTGGGACCAGGATGACTTCTTGGGGGTCTTCGTCTGCCCTCAATGCAGACACAACTTCAACCCGAGGCCCGTGCTCGCCAGGAACACCCTGTTGGCCGACGTGGTGGAGAAATTCAAAAAGACTGGACTACAAGACACCACCACCACGACGACATTTGTAAATCATAGCTTCGCTGAGGCGGACGATGTGGAGTGCGACGTGTGTACAGGCAGGAAAAACAAAGCGGTGAAGTCCTGTCTGGTGTGTTTGGCCTCTTATTGCGACCTCCACCTGCAGCCCCACTACGACTCCGCTGCTTTCAAGAAACACAAGCTGGTTTCGGCCTCCAAAAAGCTCCAGGAGACGATCTGTAGCCGCCACGACAAGCTGCTGGAGGTGTACTGCCGCACGGACAACCAGTGCATCTGTTACCTGTGTCTGACGGACGAGCACAAGGGCCACGACACGGTGCTGGCCGAGACCGAGACACTACAGAAGCAGGTCAGTCATTTAATCAGGGCTGTGATTGATTCATGTTGGTGATCAGTGACAGTACAGTGCCTCTTTGTTTAATACATGCCTGGTCTGATGTGATCTACCTGGTGTAAAATGTCCTTTCTGTTTTTACAAATGTTCATTATTTTGGCCTATTCAATAAACAATTTAAAACCCATTGTCTTTTTTTAGGAATAAACATATTCAATATAAGCATGGACAATTGAACACAATGTACAAACTCAACACACATAGGTTCAACGTTAAAGAAAGCAAATGTTAGCTGAAATGTTATAGCCTCAACTCTTAAAAACGATTTGTTATGTTCATTTCATTTTAAAACATTTTGTTATGTGTTCAGTTGTTTTTTCTATCTGTTCTTAGGCGGTGGGGATTAATAAAAAGCAGTGAAAGTGCCTGTGTTTCCCTTTTCTTAAATCTGGTTTGATTGTCTGTTAAAGCAGTGAAAATAACCCTTAACTTCTGTCTTAACAAATTGCAAAAAAACGTTGTTATTTCAGATTTTGTATAATGTGACCCGATTGAGTGGAAACTATGAAACCACCCTCTTTCATTTTCAATCTTAAACATGTTAATCAAATCCTATATTAAACACACTCTTTTCCATAATATCTTTCCTCAGAAGGAGCTTGGTGACATGAAGCAGAGCTCTCAGCTGAAAATCCTTCAAAGGGAAAGGGGAGTCCAGGAGATCAGACAAGCCATTTTCTCTCTCAATGTAAGTTTGTTCTGATGTGTTGATACAGCACATCGCATGTCTTGCCTCTGAGTGATGTAAAAAGGTCATCATTTGACATTTTAGACGATGCCTTCTACATGTCTCTGTGTTTCCCCTCCAGCGCTCTGCTCGGGCAGCAGCTGAGGAGAGTGACGCTGTCTTCACTGAACTGATCCGATCCATGGAGCTGAAGCGTTTCGAGGTGAGAGAGCTGATCAAAGCGCAGGAGAAGACGGCCGTCAGTCAGGCGGAGCAGCTGCTGGACAAGATCCAGAAAGAGATCGCTGAGCTGAAGAAGAACGAGGCTGAAATGGACAAACTCTCCCACTCCGAGGACCACGTGCATTTCCTTCAGGTAACTAAACTCAGTGATAACATTAGTATTTTGAGTTTTTCGATGTTCTTGTACCTATACTTTTACTTTCAGGGGCAAACGTTTAACTCAATTCTACAAAATCATCAGAAGTTACTGGTACTTTTTCCAAGCACAAAAACATTTTTAATCTAGTAAATAATGTGGTACAGTATCTCTGTTTTTAAGACACATTAATTTGTTGAAAGTATTTTTTTAAAGTAATACTAGTGCAGCAAACTGCTCATCTTTTCCTTGTTACAAGCACTCTTTTGTAAAACTTTTTTTTAAAAGTTGATTTAAAAACAAAAATTCTTTGACTACAAAAAACGATCACTTGTTTAAAGAAAATGTGTGTTACAGAACTCTATAACATATATTATAACAACAATCAAGTTACTATTTTTTGCATAATAAGTACTTTTACTGTTGATATACTGTAGCTAAAAATACTTTTACTTAAGAAGAATTTTGAAAGCAGGACTTTTACTTTGGAGTACAAAAGTAAAAGTGTGTTATTGCTATTTTTACTTAAGTTTCTAATCAAGGATACTCAAACTCTTTGTGTGTGTGTCATTGTGTTTCAGAGTTGTCAGTCTCTCCACGCTCCACCTGTGCTGTCAGATTTGCCTTCGGTCACCATTGACCCCAACCTCACCTTCGGCCCTGTGATGACAGCAGTGTCTGATTTTAAAGGGCTGCTGCAGGAGGTCTGCCAAGGAGGATTTGTCTGCATCTACGAGAAAGGTAGATACAAAGTGTCGTTATCAAAGGTCTGTCTGATTGATCTGACACAAATGATTCCATCAACTCTGGTTACGTTGTTTTCTCTTTTCTGTAGTGAGAGAGATAGTGATCATAAGTCCTCAAGGTCCTGCTGTACCGCTGGAAACAACGCAGTCCAGTGATGGAGAGTCAGCAGTACAAATGGAAGCAGCACAAGGTGAGTCAATGAAACACTTTGAATTATATTTGTTTTAAAGGTGTTAAAACTGCCCACGGAAGCTGTGAAGTACAGACAATAATCTAATATAATAACCAATAAATGTATGTACTTTTCAAATGATGTTTTTTGCAATGTTATCTCATAATGCATATTTTCTTTATGTTTTGCAGTATTATAATATAATAGTATATTAAAGTAATATACTTGAATTGAACCTGTCGAAAGCTGCATATGTCCTGCTTGCTTGTGCTTTCCATTCTAAAAACACCTTACTCGACTTGTTTATTTATAGTAGAGTTTGCTGAGTCAGCTTAAGAGAAGAGATGACAGCGCTGCAGAATCTCACAGTTCTGACAGCTGCGACTCAGTAACAGCGTTTTTTCTCTTTGTGCTCGCAGTGATGCCGAAACCGGGCCTCGACCAAAGTCCCGTGAACCATCTGAACCCTTTCCTCTATCCTGGATCTGCTGCGCCCACATTTGCCTTCTCACCATTTGGTAAATACAGCCGATATCAATGATGAAATATATTTCGACATTAGGCAGTGTGCAAATCCCAGTTTACACTAGCAAATCAAATGTATGACGAATGTTTAATGTAAGTGAAAGAAAGAAAGACACACATTTAGTTAATGTAACATATGTTCCTTTACTTAAGTAGAACTACATTATTATTAACAGAACATGCATCAAAAGTAAAAAGTACCCACACATAATGTACCTGGTCATTTGGTGAGTTGTAGATATTTACATCTTTGAATAAAAAATCTAAGCAAAGTATATTAAAACAAATCTATATACTTACATTTGATCATTTCAGGTTATTTAAATAAATATTACATTGCATCTTGCTTGAAAAATAAATCTAAATATGATTGGTTGCTACTACACAGCACAGATCTAGGCCAGGGACATTTATGCTGTGATTTATGAATTCCTCTGTCACCTCAGGGTGCTGCAAAATGATAATTCCTGTTGTATCTTCTCAGGCTCAAAACTGTCCACAGGATCCAGACCGAGACACCTTCAGCGACGAAGCCACCCCAGGAGGAAATAGACTTTAAGTGGACTTTCCAAAATTCCAAATGCAGATACACAGACTGATTTTCATTGTACCTTAATGATGTGCTATCACAAATATGTACTGTATTGTACATTTAATAATCAATTTCACTTTTGACTTTGACTTATTTTTTGTGGTTTCACCTATCAGCTCTACTTGCGTCTTTCAATATAGTGCTGATAGGAATGAGATGAGGACAGTGTTTATATTCACAGAAGAACAAATACATAATGCTTAAAGTATTAAGCAACACAAAGCAGGACTGACTTTTTATTTCAGTGTTTAAATGGAAATTGCCTTTAAATTATTAGTTTACCAATTTTACTGAACTCTAATCGTTTAACAATGTTGTGCTTTTATAATAACTTTTTAGCTAAAACTGAGAAAACACTATTTTTGCTTTACCGAAACGTGTACAAATAATGTTTTGTGAAATGCTGTGATTAAAAACAACACTCTTATTCAAACTGGTGTTTTTTATTTGCATGGGAGCTGGTTCACGTTTCCTCCGGTATCACTGTGGACGTTTTTGTCCATATGGGTCATTTTTCACTTTGCAATAACTTTGGTTGTGTTGGTGCAAATGGCCTGATTTTTTGTAACAAGGCTATTTTCTCGATCTATTTTGGAATTCCAATTTAAAAAAATTCAAATCGGTCTTTAATTCACTGCGTAACAAATCGACTACGCAAATTAGTCATTCGAGACAAAAATGTCCACTGCAAAAGACTTTGATAAAAACATTATATTAAAAGGTTTTTTTCACAACTTTTTTGGGTTCAATCTTTAAAACAACTTCCGCCCTAATAGAAAATACCAAAAATGTAATCATTTTCAGGATTTTAACCCTTTAAATGCCATTTTGAATACATGAAACCGCTGTTTTTTTTCATGATGAAAACAGAGAAAATTAGTTATTTTCCAAAAAATACATATCTGGGGATTGGCTCTTTTTTTTTTACAACAGTCTTGAATATGTCAAAGATTAGCAACAAAATGGATTTTTTTGCATTATTAGTTTTTGCACAAAATCAGATTGAACAAAAAAGTTACAAATTAGTCATTTTAATATAATGTTTTTATCAAAGTCTTTTGCAGTGGACATTTTTGTCTCGAATGACTAATTTGCGTAGTCTAATCGAATGATACCGGAGGGTTAAACAAACAAGGTTTCGAGGTAGAAGTAGAATAACCGGTTGAGTGTACACAAACAGCCCTTTTGTGTTCATGTCAGATAACATTCAGGTAAGTGCATCTATGACTTGTGTTTTTAAATAAGGAAAGGCAATTCTATAAAAGGCTGTTTTGTACAGGTTGCTTTATGGGACCGCCCAATTGCTGCTTCCTTGGCTGTGATTGGCTGCTTCCGGGTACAGCAGGTGACACAACCAGCGGTAATCAGCTCACCTGTGAGTCACGCCCATCTTTGTCCCTCTCAGTTTCGGCTGGGAGTGTTTGGGAAATGGCAGCAACAACTATTTCTATTGAACAGGACCAGTTCTGTTGTTCAGTGTGCCTGGAGGTCTTAAGAGACCCCGTGACTATCCCCTGCGGACACAGCTACTGCTTGGACTGCATCGAAGACTACTGGAACAGGGCCAAGCAGAAAGGTCAGTACAGCTGCCCTCAGTGCCGACAGGTGTTCAACCCCAGACCGCTGCTGAGCAGGAACACAGTCCTGGGGGAAGTGGTGGAAACTTTTCTCAAATCTGGGGCTCGACAGTTGTCCTCAAAACCCGAGGAAGTGGCATGCAGTGTGTGCACAGTGAGGAGGAAAAGAGCTGTTAAATCCTGCCTTGTGTGCTCCGAGTCTTACTGTGCGGCTCACTCCAGGGTCCATGAGGAGAGGTTTCATGAGAAGGCCCACAGGTTGGTCCCTGCAGTGGACCAGCTGAAGGAGAAGCTGTGCCAACATCACGATAAACCACTGAGGCTGTACTGTCGCACCGACCAGCAGAGTGTGTGTTCCCAGTGTGTGAGAGAGAGACACAAGGGCCATGACGCAGTCTCACTGGTGGATGAGAGATCAACGCAACAGGTCACTTTCAGTATTTCTTAATGCAGAAATTAATCACTCATTGTTATTTTGGGGAGTGTTTATGTTTCACACCGTGATTACAAAAACAAATGTCGTGCTTTTAAGATGACATAAATGACATCTTCTTAGTTTTTGCAACAACATTCAGACGTGCTTTATCAGAATGCATTTTATTTTAAAGTGTACTCTTTCATCTGTGATGTTTTCTTTTGTTCTGGAAGAGCTTTGTGAAGTCTTGGAAAATAACCCGCATTATAACACTATTGTCCCGTCAGGGTTATTCAGCTCAGGTGCATGCTGGTTATGTGGGATTGACAGTGTAGTATTGCAAGTTGTAGGATATTTTACTTTAAAAAAAATACAACCGTGTATAAATAATTATGTGAAAGCAGAAATAACGTATAATATTGTATATTATAATAATATTATATTGTTCGATTATAGTTATTCATGCATTAATCTGTACATCTTAAGTTATAAATAAATATAGTTTGAAGTACAATATGTACCTGTGATAAAGGAGTGGAGTAAAAGAAAAATATTCAACATTCTCAGATAAAGTACAGGTTTCTCAAAATGATGCTGTACAGCACATGAATAACTCTACTTCCACCAGTGGGAATTGATGCTAGAGATCAGACGGATAATATGGAGGGAGTTAGCTGTGGGCTACAACTTGAGCCCCATTTTTGTTTTATCTTACACCTTATGTGTTCAGATTTGACTGCGTTATGACATCGTGACGTAAATCCTTTGGAAGAGCCGGAGAACCCTTACAAAGATGCTGTAACAAAAAAGTAGTAGTCCCCTAAGGATATATCTTTTGTAGGCTGGTGTGAAGGCTTCACAAATCTTCACATTTTAAACATGGGAGTAGAATGTGCCCCGGTCCTTCAGCCATATATTGTGCTCAGATGATAGTACGTTTTAGGTTATTAGACCAAAGGCCATTCAGCGCAATTGAATCCTTTTGATTGTAATATCCAAAATGTCCATCTTGAAAGTCAACTGTGAGCAGAAGCAGCCTGAGGGACTGAACTGTCTGATATTTAATCTCTTAGAAAAAACTCCAAGAAGCCTCTTTGAAGTCTGTGCAAAAATTGAAAGACACGGAGAAGGAGCTCAGATATGTTGTCAGATATATCAAGGTTAGTGCATTTCCAATACAGGAGTTTAAAATGTGTTGCATACATACTTCCTACACTCAAAGTATGTATCCTGACAGCACTCCACAGAGGCAGCGGTGGAGGAGAGCGAGAGGGTTTTCTCCAGGCTGATCCGCTCCATAGAGAAACAGAGCAGTGAGGTGAAGGAAGTGCTGAGGGTCCAGGAGAGAGCAGCTGTCAGTCAGGCTGAGGAGCTGCTGGAGAAAATACAGAGAGAGATCCTGGAGCTCCGGAGGGCCGGGGCCGAGCTCGAGAGGATTTCTCAAACTGAGGACCACACCGGCTTCCTTCAGGTACAAAACGAAACATAACTCGGCCAATTATGTGTGACAAGGCCACCAACCATTTTGTTATCACATTTACAAAGTGGTAAAGAAGCAAAGTGCATTACTCAAGTACTGTACTTAACCACAAATGAAGGTACTTTAAGGTTACTCAAGTGTTTCCATATTCTGCTACTTTAACTTCTTCTCCACATTTCAGTGACATAAATTGTAATATTGACTTCGAATATGAAATATCAACAATAAAATATTTTTTTCGTTATTAATTTGATTAGCTGTAAAAGCGCTTGATAAATAAAATATATTATAATTATGAAAAACAACAATAATATGCTATTATTCATAATGTATTATAGATGATCATGAACATGTCTTTTCAGAGCAAGAGTTATAAATCAGAGACGAGGATCCACCCATCATCCACCCAATTCTTGTTTATAAAAAAACAAAACTCACTTTGACTATATGATTCAGTTAGAAGTGATTAAAATGTTTACATTTTATTTCGGTCAAGTCCCTGACATCTCAATGTCGCATACAAATAATGTAATGTTCACTAGATTTGAATTGGAGTGTTACCCACAACGTGACTCCTTCCTGTTTGTCGGTGTTGTTGCATTTGCATTCAGATACTGTCCTGTAATTTGGTTGTGCTGCTTGTCACCGCAGAAGTGCAAGTCTCTTCATTTCCCTACAAAGACTGTGGAGATGCCCAGCACTGATGCTCTTCAATATATGATGTATAAAACCCTGAGGGGAGCCCTGCCCAATCTCAAAGACAGTCTGGATGAAACACTTGAAAGAGAATTCAACAGGATCTCTGATAAAGGTGCAGTGCCCTTTTTACAACTGATTCATATAAAAGTGATTATTTGTTCAACAATTCTCACTATTTCTGTTTGTCTTCGTTTTTAGTAATGTCACTGAAGGAACCCAGCAATACAGGTGTATCTGAAAAAACCAAAGGTAGGTGAGTTTCTGTCAAATGATACTTTAGCAAACTAAACTGTAGAAAGGAAAGGTCTGTAAATGTAAGGAATGGGTTATGTGAGCTTGATACCATGTGTGCAACCATCATGTGCAAAGTAAGATCCCTGTTTACCAGATTTCTGTTTCAAATTAGTTTTATTTAAAAAATGTAACATCTAAAAAAGTCAGCAAGACTCCTAACTAGTCACTTTGGCTTAATCTTACCATCAAAGTAATCTCAATTACATTGAATGAAATCTGTTTTTAATGTTCATCATCTGTCTAACAGCAAAAGACACGGAGATCCCATACAACTCCGAACCGAAGACAAGAGCTGATTTTCTACATTGTGAGTACCATTGTTTGATAAACCCTATTACTGTCAAATTGTATTCCTTCTTATTCCATTGCAATGTAAACACTTATATTTTAAAATATTTTTCTATTTCTATACCTGTGTTTTTATTTGTATGTATACACCAAGTCAAATTCCTGGTAATACACCTGTTTCTGATTCTGATAGTGACTCTTTATGAAAACTGTGACTTAAAGTTTGCATTGTGCATTCACTGATTTCCAGATCACCACGATATCGTCCTGGACCCGAACACAGCCAACCCTTATCTGAGCCTCTCTGACGGTCGCAGAGGGGCGACCACGCGCTCGGAGCCCCAGCCCTACCCGGACCACCCGCAGCGCTTCAGCAGCTGGGCCCAGGTGCTGTGCAGAGCTGGGATGGCTGGGCGCTGCTACTGGGAGGTGGAGTGGGCCGGGGAGGGAGGGGTTTCCATCGGGGTCTGCTACAAAAACATGGGCAGGAGTGGAGCAGGGAGCGACTGCAAGCTCGGACATAACTCCAAATCCTGGAGCCTGGACTGCGCCAACTCGGTCTGTTCCTTTCAGCACAACAAGGAGAGAGTGAGCGTCCCCACCGCCTGCTCCAGCAGGATAGGAGTGTTTCTGGACTTCAGGGGCGGGACTTTGTCTTTCTATAATGTTTCTGATACACTGGTTCTCCTCCATCAGGTCAAGACTACGTTCACCCAGCCCGTTTACCCAGGTTTTTGGGTGGGTTTAAGCTCCACTTTAAGGCTGTGCTCTCTCTAATTGTAAAGATGACTGCACTCTTTGACGTTTAAGAAAGTAAGCTTGTATGCATGTGGCTCAAAGTATTTACTTTTGAGACGGTGGTGTGTGCTCAAACCTTCGGTAGCAGCAGCAACACTTTGGTGACGCTTAGATCAGCAAAAGCAACATCTATACTGAGGTGTATATTTCAAACAGGTTCATGATTATATATGGATATTTATTGTGCTTGAATCCATTTTATTTGAAATGAACAATGTATTTTATTTAAAATTCATAATAAAGCATTTATTGTCATTGTTGTGGAAATAATTATCATAAGACGCCAATTAGTAACATACAGGACAAACCTCGATGTCTGTTTACCTTCTTTAAGGACACAGGCGGCTTAGCCAATAATGTTATTGTTCCCATTCTGTGACCGGTCAATACTGGGATACAGATGGTCTGTGTTGTGGGTACACTGGGACACTTCCTTCTCTGTATTTGTGGACTCCAAGGTGAAATCTTCGAGGTCATAAGTGTCCGAGGCAAGTAGCTCTGTGTTCCCACACTGTTTAGGCTATCTCCTCAAAATATGTTGTTTACTCTCTGCGAAACCAGTTAGATGGGCTGGCAAGAGAGAGGCTCTCCAGAATTGACGTGGCAACTCTACCGTGGAGTCAGAACCTCTGACTCTTGGATTTGTGATGTGAATACTCTGGTACCAACTCCAAATAAATCACAGTGGTTTGACATCAAAGCTCCGACTCTTCCCGTGTCTCCTTCCTGAGTCGGTGACTCCACTGCATGCTACACAGAAGTTTCCTCTACAGTCATGTTAGTCCAAAGTCTATGAATATCTTTATATTTCAAGGATGTCATTACCCCTCATAATTTGAAGCAAATTGTTTTTACTTGCTGGAGAAAAGAAAACATACTAATTTTCATAACACTATTCATATAATATAGAAAAGTATGGTATGTGGAAAATATCATGAACAGGGTTTTAGATGTATGTCATGAAAAATCATAATACAGGATGACAAAATTAGAAAAAGTAAGTGTGCTGGAAAGATCATGAGATATATATTATATATATATACACACACACATACAGCAGTGTTTCCCCTAGGATGGAGTCATAGCAGCGGTGCTAAGGCACGTGGGCCCAGCATAATGTGAGCGTGGAGCACATGGAATTGTTTAGTGTGCGCGTGCGAAGTGCGCCCCGCCAATTTGTTTCTGTGTCAGAAAGGCTCTTGAGGCCTAGTACCAGGGCCGGTTCTAGACAATTTGCTGCCCGAGGTGAGATTTTAAAGAATAAATGAAAAATCTCTACAAAAGACAAATACACTACAAAAACAGAAACTTATTGACATAGGTCATATACGTCAAAATGGCTTCAAATGTATTCAGTATTGTATGAACATGTTTGAATTGGGGGGGTGGACGTCACATCCTCTAGGGGGGTCCGGGGGTATGCAATCTGGTGCACTTTGAACACACAATTACTAGAGACCTGATCTAGGGGGTACAAATCTAAACACCCATATGAAAAAGATCGGTTTACATTTTAATAATCAAATAAGTATGTGAACATAACCAATAACCTACCATAGCCAATACATGTAACTTATTTTATTTTTGTTGTTCATTTATATCTTATTTTACCAGTTAACATTTATTTATGCATATTTTTGTATCTCTCCAACTTTAAACGATATCTTTGGTTTACTGTCCTATAGTATACATTGGAATGATTTCAAACCTGTTTTTATTTATCCTAATAATTATGAAGGAGTGCCTTGGAAATATGTGTTTACATAATTTGTAAACACATATGAGACCCACTGAGATGGGCGCCACCGCTATTTGTATATCGGGGAAACACTGTACAGTACCAGTGAAAAGTTTGGACACCTTCATTTAATTTGTTTTGTTTATTTAAAAATGTTTCTACTTTGTAGATTAATACTGAAGACATCAAAACTATGAAAGATAGTTGGTGATTGATTCAGAATTCAAGGCACACTTAACCAGACATTACCACAGCATTCTGCAGTAGCCAGCCAAATATAAATCATATTCTGGATTTTTTTACTTTTTTGTTTACTAGATAATTCCATGTGTTCTTTTATAGTTTTGATGTCTTCAGTGTACATTTACAGTGTAGACAAAATGTAAATAAAATAAAAAACGAACAACATGTGAAAAAGTCATAGTATAGTGATAGTCTATCAAAAATATAAAAAAGCATATCATAATTTGTCTAAAAATACAGTATATATTTTTTTATTGCAAAAGACTACAAACCAGGATATCACAGACCTCAAAATATTAAGGTTGGACTGAGAGAAAAAAGGAAACTGACAGAGGAATTTGCTCAAAACTTAATATTTTAATCAACATGCAAGCAGGGAGCAGCAGCAACACTTTGGTGGAGCAGGTAAAACAACTGGTGGAGCTCAGATCTTATTGAAGGCAGCAACGTCTATACTCTGGATCTGCAATGGAAGAAAGGTGCAATAAGTCGAGGTGTACATTACACATTCATGCACTTTACCCATGATGTAAGCACCACACATTAAAGTCAATTCATGTCAGTGATATTGGTGTGGGTGTAGAAAATGTCATAACACACAAGTTAATAAATCAGCGTGGCTGGATACCCGAGAGGTAAGTTAACTGAAGTTGTCTAATAATGGTGAAGGAGTTACACCTGTGTGCGTTTTACTTACAAAGTCCTCAAACTTGGTGATCTCCTCCTCCAGGATGTCTGTGCCAACTTTGTCGTCCTCGATCACGCAGGTGATCTGCAGCTTCTTGATGCCGTATCCGACGGGAACCAGTTTGGACGCTCCCCACAGGAGCCCTTCCATCTGCACCGAGCGCACGCACTCCTCCAGCTTGGCCATGTCCGTCTCATCGTCCCACTGAGGGAGCACGTGGGGAAGGGGGGTTAAAACACAGAACACTCATTTGACCATGGTAAGACAATTCAACTCAGTTTGCAGCAAAACGTTAACATAAATTGCTTAACATGCATCGGGATTCATTTGGAATATTACAAAAAATATATATGCAGTTTAAGTCGCAATTAGCTTAAACTATTAATTAACTTAACATCTCAATTTTATCACATTTTTTTACCTTTTCTGAAACAAAACAGTAAATCTCTATAAGAACACAACTGCAATGGAACTAGCACAGATTTCAGCCACATGATGCAGGTCAGAAGGAAACGTACGGGCTTGACGTCTAAAAGCAGAGACGACTTGGCTATGAGGGCGGGTTTCTTGGACTTCTTGGCGGCATAGGCATCCAGGCGCTCCTGCTTAAGGCGCTCGGCTTCTTCGTCATCCTCATCATCACTGCCAAACAAGTCCATGTCGTCATCCTCGTCTTCATCATCTCCATTTTGCACCTGTTTGACTGGAGCAGCCTGGACTGGAGCAGCCTGGTCAAAGCAGTGGAAACTTCCTGTTAAGGTGGGCTCTTCAGAAGGCTTTCTCAAATAAGATTAACTCTTTCCTGATCTCCATTTGTTCAAACAACTAAAACATCATACAATAAAGAGCATCAATAGATATGTGAGGGGAACGAAGGGAGCCTAAGCCTTATATATACAACAATATTAATCATAAACAACAAGACAAAGCAACCAAAAAGAGGAACATCAAAAAACGTACTTATAGTTTGAGTATACCTTAAGTACAATGTAGATTACATTATATTTGGGCTGTGTCTTTTACAGAGAAAATATGCATTTAGTAATTCTAAGTTATCGACCTTAGCACTTGGGCTCTTTTCCAGCGTGGCCACTCTGTTCTCCAGCGTCTGCAGGGCTGCTCTCATTTCAGCCACCACTAACAAGCAAACACAATAGGAAAAGTAAGAATGGATACTCTGCATCAAATATACAAAAGCACAGAAATACTTTATAAAAAACGGAACAAACCTTTGTGCAGAGTATGGTTCTCCAGCTCCATGCTCTTCATGCGTGTAACCAGCTCCTGGTCTCCTCCTGCATGTGAGGATGACTGTGGAGAGACGAACACTAATAAGCACGTGCCATGATGCAGCTACGGGTTCAAATGGTGACAAAGCAAATGTAATCTCATCAAGGCAATCCAAGCCTAAAAAGAAGCAAGCAAAATCAAAAGTAGATAAAACGGTGAGATTTCAAATGAAAGCCATGCAAGGCTAGCTTCTATAACACACTGATGAAAACACTCCACCCTCACAACGCTGATGTTGAAATGAGGAGCCGTTCAGAACGACCAGTGTCTGATCTGCTGGCCGCTGAGCAGCTCCACTGAAGCATTTGCAGTTAAGGGCGTAGCTCCAAGGCACCTCAGTGCTGTCCATGATTACAACAACAGCATGCAGGCAAACTCACTGCAGATTCTGGCAACGGCACAATACATCATTAAAAAAGAACGTGTTGCCATATTGCAGATATAAAAAGATTGATACAACAACACATCCCACTTTCATTTGTAAATCGATTAAAGTAAGTAGATATGTTGGACAGAGCCAGGCAATCTCTCCAGGTTGCTGCTCTTTGTGCTAAGCTAAGCTAGGACAGATATGAGTTGTATCAATCTTTGATGAAACTCAGCAACAATAGGAATATGTGTACTGCTCAAAATGTTTCATTAATAATTGACCACTTGATTCAGAAGTTACAGAAAATAATCAAGATGGAAAGTTGAAAAACAATATAAATATGGAAATGAGTAGCATTTGAATAGAATGTAATGTTTACATTATCTAACAAATCATCACCATTATTATAAATTCCACACGCACACACATTCTGAATCAGTTAGTGGTAGCATAATGTGATGCATGAAGAAGGGTGATTCAGGATGGCATCTGAGTGACAGCTGTACACTCCACTCCAGGCAGCAGCAGAACTCAGATCAGCGCTGTGTGTGTCGGCCATGCAGCGCTCCCAGACCGGAGCAGCAAACACTTACGTTTCTGTTCCGCGGTCTCTGCTGGCGCGCCTTGGGCAGCAGGGCCGCTTTGGCCTGCACCCGGTTATGTACAATGTGAAGGTAGGAGGGAAACACGAAGACACAAACAAGAAGAAGAAGAAGACAGAGAAGTACAGGGTGTAGGTAGAAAGTCGGATACTAAACATGCTACACATTCAGAGTCATCAGTAGAAAGAAAATGAAGCCAGGATTGTTAGTGAAATAGGATGAAACACAACTAAATGGATGAAGTGCCTGTATGGGAAATATCAACCAATGCACATGTGTTCAACCAATCAACAGAACATTTTTAACTTTTTTTAAGCACCAACGAAAGTTATTAAATTCAGGAAGGTTGACTTAAAAGGAAAAGTTCACATTTTTCAAAGACATGCCTTCTGAAAGCAATTTAAACGCAGGTGGTGGCTTAACCCCTACAGGTATGGACTGAATGTGTTGTTTAAAACCTGAATCTTTGTTGCTGCCACAGCAATATAGTAATTTGCCTAGGGGCATGCAAGCATTGGTTTGTATTGGACTTAAAAAAGCGTGTCAATCAATCCTTTAAGACATGGTTGAAGTAGCACTTATTTATGCAAAAATGACACATTCAAACCGCTTTCAATATAGCAAATGGCGTGGATGTAAAGACAAACACATACATAGATTGCAATGATCGTTACTGGCAACGCAAGCAGAGGAGAACAGGAGAACAAGTGTCAGTAGCTCCAAGGCCCAAGAACTCTAATGAAAACTTCAAATTTAAACAGATGTTCCCCTTTTTTCAGGGCTGGTACTGGAAGATTAGTCAGGACTGTCCTGTCACTACAAGGGGGGGGGGGGGGGTTATCTGGGGCTCATTTGCAGTACTTACTCCGTTTAGGGACTGCAGGATATTCTGTCTGGATTTAGCAATGTCCTGCAGGATGGCATTAACCTCGCTCTCCTGAAGGTGTTTGTGGGTAAAGCAGTAATGAAGCGGGAGCAGTGACAAAGACAGAAAGCCGCATGCAAAACAAACAGAAGCAGCATGGACCACACATCCAACATGAAGGAGGGTTTTTCTAAACATTTGAAGCAGGTAGCACAGAAATGGGAACTAACGGTTAAAGAAATGTTGGCAGCTAGCATGAGGGTAGCACTTGTCAATGACCCAACCTGAAACTCTCGTGCTGTTTATCCACTACGTGTTGTAATGAAATGTGAACTGTTGAAACTACTTTTCACACAAGAAATATGAAATAATACCTTTTGAAGGTATTATACTAAACAGCCAGGACGCTGTTTATGTAAAAACATGTTTAACTTCTTACTTGTGTTATTTGGCAGCAGTAAAGCCAAACAAACTGGGAACATACAACCCCTTCTTGAGACCACAAGTGGTAAGTGAAGACATATGGCTTCTGTGTTTTGGCCAATTAAACCCTTTAAAGATTGTTTCCAAGGCTCGTGTAGAAACTCTCCACTGCCCTTTACAGTCAGAGGAGCAGAGGCAGCTGCCAAACCACCTGACCCCTCTCCATAGGACGTGCCACTTCTAAATCGAGCAGCTTCACTCTCATGCACACAGCTGCAGAGGGCTGGTGATGATGTAACTGTTGCTTTACAGGCCAGTGATTGACAAGGAGGCATGAGCGGAGGAGGAGTCAGACAGGAGAGCAAAGGAACTTCAAAAGATGGCAGCAGGAGACGAGAGGAGAATTTGGAAATAGGTTTGTCTGAAAATCTAAATAACCTCAGGAATGATCAGGTTGATAAACATCAAACAAGGTCCACACCAGAGAAAACAAAGCAGCTTTGCTCTTCTTCCTGTGTTTTACACCCATGTGTTCAAGTTTGTGTGCCTGCCTGTCCTACCTGTGAAGGAGGTCCGTTGGCTCCCTCGTAGAAGCACTTCTCGGCTTCATCGTAGAGAGGTTTGTCGAACCAGATGTTCTCGGAGGCGAGGCACTGCAGTCCACTCATGTTGGTACTAAGGAGAGAAATCAGAAATGTAGGAGAAATAAGATGCAAAAAACAAAACATTGATCGACATCCAACAGCCATGATCAGGGGTTTAGTTGTTTACAGCCAGCACAATAACGAGTGACAGAACACTGGGAACAGCACATTAAGGGTAACAACCTCATGCAGAGCCACAGATGGAGTTGTGCGTGGAATGGACACAAAGTGACAGAACAAAGCGTAATGCAGACAGTTCCAACCAAGTAAACAAATGAATGTCAGAATAAATAAAACACACTACTGCATAAAATGCTAAACCTCCCTTGTCGTTTTGCTGACAGGTTACCGCAGCAGACGGGCATCTACACATTCCTCAGTCAGGGAAACACAGTTTGCCTGCTCTGCAAAGTCTGGATTACTGAACAAAAGGGTTGTCTCTGCCCGCTAGAAGCCCCTCTTAGTGATAGCAGGGGTCCCCTTCATTGTGCCATTGTCAAAACAACCTAGTTGACCATACATGCGAGTACATGACGGTTGTACGCCAATGAGACAATAGGTCAGACTTAGTAGCCGTTAAAGAAATGCAAGGGCCTGCTGTGATGCTGAGAAAAAAATCCAAACAAATATTCATCTCCAAACCTGCAGCTCAAAGATATTACACACGGTGCACAAGTTAGCACGAATGCACAAACAAAAATGCATGACAAAAAAACAAAAGAAAACGCAGTTAATTAGCCGGAAAACACACATCACGTCTCTCCCATTCCCCGTGAGAGGTGCCATACTTGTCCCATCTAGGCCTGCTCTCCGTCTCAGAGAAGACCCTCTTCCTCTGGGTCGGGCCCCTGCTGCCTTTGCCCCCCTGCTCGGTTTCAGAGGAGGTGCGATTGCGGCCTCTACTGTACTGACGGGGGGAGGTCCCGGAGACTTTCACCGTGGCGACGGGGGGTCCCTGATCCTGCTGCGGACCGCGCCCACGTCTGGCCTGGAAGGTCATGTAGCCTCTGGTTTTTGGGCTTCTTGGAGAGGAAGACTGCGGTCCGTTCCCATTAGATGCGAGCCGCCGTTGGTAGTTGCCCTCGGCCTGCTCATAGGCGCCGTGGTTGTACATCATTCCATCTGCCTGCATGTCCTGGAGCAAAGGGCTTTGACCATAGGGGCCACATCCTTCCACGGAGGAGCTCAACCCCTCATCTTCAGCCCAGGAGCGGTGGGCCTCCGACGGACGTGTGCGTCTCTGCAGCCTCCCTGACTGATCTTTGTCTCCGCTGATGACGCTTCTCTCGGTGGGATTATTACCCTGCCTGGAGTTCATCACCGGCACAGCATTCTGAGGGACTCCTCCTGGCTGACGGGACGGCCGAGACTGATCCATTTCTCTACTAAAGGGGTCTCTTCTCTATTCACTTGTTTTATAAGGAAGCAACAGGTGGAAACTAGATGGCATTAGTTCATTATGAAGATGGCATCACACAAAGAACTTTGCTAGTCAAACACTTGATATGAGATGCCAATGCGGTCTTGCGGGCAAAGACTAGATTGATCAAAAAGCTTACAATTACCAAAATAGAAACATGATTACCCCTTATAGAGTTCAAACTAACCTCTTTGAGAGTATTTCGTTATTTGGCTGACTGGGATCGATGGGAAGATTTTAACATATTGCCCAACCGTATTTTTGGGGATATGGAATATTGCCAAAACATGTAAAAGCAGGTCATTGATCAATCTCACATTAGACTTTCAAAAAGCAAAGCCAAAACAAATAAGGCAAAATGTAATAAGGCTAACATAATGGCCAGCATTTAGGTTAGGATGAGTTTGCAGCATTTCCTCAATCTATGAAGTACAAACATTTTTAAATAGAATAGTAATTTGTCAATTAATTCATGAGGAAACGCAGTTTTTAAATGCATTAAGCACGTTTCTTCTGAAACATTTAAAAACCAAACCTATGCAACATTGTCTGGCTCACCTTTTTTTTGGCATGCTGGAGAAAAGTGTACGCTACCTATCGTGGAATGGAATATTAAAATAATTCACACACGTTTGAATTATATTGAAAATGATTAACAGTAAGTTATATTAAAGACAATCCATGTGTCTTAACATGCAGGCAAAAACCATTAACAAAAGACATATTTTACATTTTCATGCATTAAGAATACATAATTACATGATATTCAAATATAAAAAAAACATTTTTCAAAACATTATGTGTGCCACAGATATATTCTCTCAGTTGCCAGTTGGTTAGGTACACCTAGCATCAAATAATGCAGTCAACAGCCCTGTGATAAATCATACCTTCACATCGAGAGGGGATTACATCCGGTCATTTTGAAGGCTTCAGTTTTAGGTGTGAAAATAATCTAAAAAGGAGTTTTTAATATTGTGTCCAACCCACTAGGGCTGAAACAATAGGTTGATGAATTGACAGAACATTTAGTTAACTTCTCTCTCAAACAGTTGAATTAAGATCACATGGTAACCTTCACAAAGATAATATTGTAAGATGATACACACACGACTGCATTAGTTTGAGCTAGGAGACCATGATCTATCAACTGAGAGCAAAACATTCAACACAACATTTCGACCGGAAGACAGCAATAAACCGGTGCATCGTCAGCTCAAAAACAGCTGCAACATCAACACTCACCTTTGGTAACGGCAATGGGAAGCTAATGCCCAACAGAGAAATAAGAGAAAATACACATAGTTTCATAATCTACAAAGCCCAAAGGAAAAACAATCACAGGACTATTAATTATTCAATATTTGAGGAATACCAACAAAAAACCCTATAAATTAGTCAAAAGCAATAGATATAAGTTGTACAGTTCACTGAACAATTTTAAACAAGTGGTCATTTCATGTATAATACCAGTCACAAAACAAGCAAATGGAACAGCAATAGGAGTTAAAGTTGAGCTGGATTTGTTACAGGGTCACTTTGACACTGACAAAAGTTGGGTGCCAATAGTTTTTCTGACAGCACCAGCAACTTGTAGCTAGTTAGTTTGACCACGTGGCGCTTGAAAACTCCCAACTATAACGTCTTTGTGTGTTTTAACAAACAGTGCACTTTATGTTGTGTCCTATGCCGTATATAAACAACTCTTCTGCACTTACTATTGGCTTTATTCGACGTTTTATGGCTCGGTAAGCGTTCTTTAGCGTGGTGCCTCGGCTGTAATCCGACGGGAGAAGAGGGCTTGCAGTAGCTGACCGCCTGTATTCTGCAGTTACAGAGGGGGAGGGACGTTCGTTTTTACATGACTTTATCGATGATTTATGCGTTTATTTAATGTTTATACAAAATGTTACAACATAAAAACGCACATTGAAACAAGTTATTGTATATTAACACTGAATGGAAGAGGGGATCCGTGTTTTTGGTACTATTAACGCCCAACATTTAGATTAGTACAATCCGTTATGGCCAAAGACTTCATTTCCCAGAGTTCCAGCTGTTTGTTCCCCATGTTCAACAATATGTAGTAGTAGCATGTAGTTTGTATTCTTTTGTCTTTTGAGTTGATTATGAACTTCTGCCCTAACACCTTTTTTAAATAAAACTGGGCAACAAGTTGAAAAAGATATATAGCCAGTTTACATTTGAGCTACTTGTTGATTGAAATCCCAATTCCTCCCTTGTCCTGCAGGGGGCAGACTAATCGAGCCAATTCAAACTGTTATCCAAAAGTTATACATGGCTACTGAATTGTATGAATCTTTTGGACAGACCAGAGAACTACATTGTTTTTTACATTGTTTTTCATTTCAAGCTGAATTAATCTTGTTTTCAGCGTGGCATTAGTCACTCCTAATAAATGCATTTATTTATTTATGCAAACTGTCAAAAACAATACGTATTTTGTATCATACTAAGAACATTCTTGAAGAAATACTCTTTATAACAGTCTATTTCTCCCTTACCTTTACTACTGCATCCGAAATATGGGGAAACACGTACTCAACAAATCTACAAAAAATAATAACATCCCAAAAAAAAGTATTACGAATAGTCTGTGGTGTTGGTAAATATGAACACATAACTCCCATATTTAAAAAAATATTTAAAAAAACTCAATCTATTAAAATGTCTTGACATAGTACAGCTTAAAACAGTACTGGTTATGCCTAATACTATTCAAAAGCAGTTCCAAACCACAGCGTGAACATATGAATGTAAAAAATGTCACTTGAAAATAAGTGTTCACAATGTTTATATGCAATTATGCATATATTATTATTATTATTCATTTCCCAAGTACATGTGTACATATGCATATATTTATATATTTTCATTTCCAAAAAAAGATAGTTGAAACTGCTATTGACATGTGCAGAAAATGACCCTATATCTAGTTTTCGTATATATATATATATATATGCATTTATTGTTTTCCTGCCCTAACTTTTATTGCATTTTTTCTCCTGTTTTCTTTATTTCTATACGTTTTTGACGCAATAATGCAGATGTTGTATTAGGATGATGCACGGGAGGGCTACTTTCCATAAGTTATGCTTCAACCCTCCTGCTTCTACTAATTTTGTTCATCTTTGTGTCTATGAATTATACTTTTTTTGTTTTTTGGATGAATAATAATATAAATAAATACTTTCAGCCTGGGGGCCCCCTAGTGGCCGCGGGGGCCCTATGCATCTGCATAGTCCCCCTATAGGAAGAAACGGCCCTGCATTGAATGTATTCCAGGCCGAGAGGATAAATCTGTACAACATCCTTCTTTGACTTTGTTCTTGGAAGGAGAACAACAACACAGACCTTATACAGCAAATGGTTGTCCTAGTTTGTTATTAATTATAGTTCTTGAGATTGCATTTCTTTATTTTGGTATTATGTATGTCACATCTGAGTGATACAGTATGCGTCTGGGCTATGTTCTGTAGTGTGCTGTATATTTCTTCAGGAGTTCTTATGATTTATTATACGTCTACAATATATTTGGGGAACCCCTCGAGGGCAAAGCTATCTCCACACATAAAAGTTCACATATTTGTTTCAAATATTGTCTAAAATCCTTTGACATAATGTGTCTGACTCGATACCAAAGGTCAAAGTCTGTAGGCTGAAAAATTAGAGTTTGCTCCACTGACGATGAGGCGCTCACCTCGTGGAGCCTTCAGATGCTAAACTGAGCTGACAAACCAAATTAATTTCATATTCTAGCACTGCTAACAGGTATGACCCAGAATTTGAACATAACTTGTCAGAAAGAATTGACACACAGCAAATGTAATGGTAAAACAATGTGAATGTCTCATTTTTACACAGAGAAGGGACAAATTGTATACCCCTGACATCAAATATGAATGGTTTGCTTTTGCGTTTTTTAGGAAAGAAAATTACACTCAAGTGCCTATCCTGTGTCTCAGCCTCAAGAATAATACATGATTTGTTGTTATTGGGTGACATTCCTCTTTTTAACAATGAATTGTCTTGCAGCAGTGACAAGGATAAGGAAAACATGAAAACTACTGAGTCTAAAATATATGAGGGAGAAGACTAACACTGATCTTGCTTGGAGCAACATGAAAACAAAGATATGCCTAATTACTAAAAGGAGAAGAGAAAGAGGCAACAAATACTTCAATTGGAAATAAAGCAACACAAAATAGGTTAAAAAAACGAAAACAAAGGGATGCAAAAAAAGAAAAAACCACATGACTGAACAACACCGACTTGAAGCGACTTAAAAAAAGATCCCAAAATCACAATGAGACAAAATGGAGCATCAAGACACAAAACAAGCACACATGAAGACGTATTTGGATCTTTGTTGTCTTTTATGCTATGAAACTTAATCTCTTCTAGGTTTTGGACAAAAGGTTGGACAAAAAAATACATTTTAAGAAGTCACTATAATTTATCGATTCATCAATTATTTTCATCAATAATGAAAATAATTGACTGGCAGCCCTATAGTTACAATCACTGATTACATCTGTAGTAGCTTGTGTAGAGGAAAGCTTGAATAGGCTCCATGAGCTCTTGTGGGGATAAACACAGTCGTTTTTTTACTTTATACAACACCCTCTCCACAACATTGAGAGGAGTGATCAAACAGGCAACGCAAAGCTTGGTTTATATGCAAACAGTCATGTGTTTGATAAATAAGCCATTAGCCAGGAGGCGTAGGTATACAAACCTTTTGTTAACCTGTGGTTTAGGACTACCTTAGGGGAAGCCCAATGCTAAAGTGATGATGGTAACTTGATAACAGTCTACAAGAGGTTTGCTTTTAATTATTTTCAAGCCAGTGGGATACCATGTTTCACACTGAGGGACACAGGTTAAATTGTACTCTTTGTGAGGAGCTAAGCTGCACACGAACTCTCCTGAAAATTAATCACATGCACTAGCTCCAGAGGAGTATTTGAAGGTTGAATGCTATTCTGGTATTCTGTTGAGAACAATTTCACTTGTCCACTTCCACATTCACACCTGCTAACAGTCTGGCCTATTTGTACGTCATTGGTAATAAACAAGCTCCAGTGGAACAGAATAAATATACATTTGTCTTGATGATTGAGGTTAAGCATTGATCCTGAATGGTTGGGATAGGTTGTCGGTCGCAACAGTTTTTGCAGATATAAGGTTTTGCAGACACAACCTCCTTTTAGTCATGACCCACCTCGCTCGCCTTTTAGTAACCACATCCTCTTTGTTTTGGGCCCCAAGGCAGTGACACATGTTGCCCTGGGTGGTGTTCTAGCTTTTTGACAGTCACAATCTACACCAACAATCTGTGCCGGAAGATTAGAAGTGCTGAAACATTTCAAGTATACCACTATGAAAATACTCTAAATTACAAGTCAAAGTCCCACAATACCATATTGAAATATATGAAGTTAAAATGCACACTAAGCACCAGAATGGCCAACTTGAAATGGGAATTATTGATGGAGTAGCTTCTTTATTCACTGTTAGGTAGTTTAATCTACAACAATGTTCATATTCAAACAGTGGTTGACTATAAGCATACTATCAAATACTGTAGTAATATCAATTGTATGGTACCTTATGCCTCTAAATATCCCTCGACAAGCTGAAATGTTAAAAATGATATCAGAATCAGAAACGGGTTTATTGCCAGGTATAGGTTCACACATACGAGGAATTTGACTTGATGTCATGGTGCATACATAAAATATAAAACAAAAACTGCATATAAAACAAAAAATCTAATATAAAACAAAAAATCTTTAAGGACACTGTAATAAAATAAAGTTAGATAGCAATCAAATAAAGCAGTAATTTACAGCGAAATAGAATGCAGTGAATTATAGATATGTGCAGTAAGCAGTATTTGAACATTGTGTGCATTAATGTAATGCATATAGAGACTACGTTGTGGCTGAGGTAAAGTGTCAGTGGGGGGGCCGGGCCTTGTTTAAGAGGCCGGTAGCGGAGGGGAAGAAACTGTTCAGGTGGCGAGAGGTTTTGGTCCTGATGGAGCGCAGCCTTCTGCCAGAGGGGGGGGGGGTGAACAGTTTGTGTCCAGGGTGGGAGGGGTCGGCCACTATCCTCCCTGCCCGCCTCAGGGTCCTGGAGGCGTGCAGGTCGTGGAGGGATGGCAGATTGCAGCCGATCACCTTCTCTGCAGAGCGGATGACCCGCTGCAGCCTGCCCTTATCCTTGTCTGTGGCTGCGGCGTACCAGATGGTGAAGGAGGAGGTGAGGATGGACTCCATGATGGAGGCGTAGAAGTTCACCATCATTGCCTTAGGCAGGTTGCATTTTTTCAGCTGCCTCAGAAAGAACATCCTCTGCTGTGCTTTTTTGATGAGGTAGTAGTCTAATTTTACTTTAATACTTTAAGTATGTTTTGCTGTTAATACTTTAGGCTACATTAAATATGCAATGCTCTTGTTAGAGAGCTGCAATTCTACTTTTTAATTAGTAAAAACACATTAATTCCAGCACTGTATTTTTCTATTTGGTTTATTTAGCAGATGCTTTCATCCAAAAATATTACCTTCAAAGCAGTGAGAATACAAACAAAGGCTAAAACACAGGCTTAGCAGACAGACAGTAACATTAATTGTATGACTTGAATTTAGGTCATTGGCTGTTTGTTTTATCTCTGTGCTTACTGCCATCTTTGTGAATGAATGGAGACAGTCATTCATTCACCTGAGAGGAGGAGAGAGAGAGAGGGAGAGAGACAGGGAGAGAGAGAGGGAGAGAGGGGGAGAGAGAGAGAGGGG